TTGCAATTCGCTTTTGTTTAAGACTTCGCCGGCACTAACTACGTAGTAGGTTACAAATAGCAATGTCTTCGAGTATACTTGGGCGATGACTGGGACGGACAGCAAAGAACCCCATGAAGTGGCAAGAAGAGTAGGTACCCGCAAAAACTCTGGAGATGCAGTAACAAGCTAGAGCAGAAAATGAAAGAAACGACCAAGTCCCTTCAGAAGAACATCTGACTTGAACTACTTTCTCTCTCTCTCTCTCTCTCTCTCTCTCGTATGATTAATTTCCCTGTTCGCAACCAGTTATTTCATCATCAAGCAAAATTGTGATAGATTATGTTTTACGCTAATTTCGTTCATGGTATTCTCGTAAAAATACGATTAGATCCATTCATACAAAATGAGTAACCTTAATATCTATTATCTATTATTTTTAAAACTACCTCTTTTATCTGTTTTTATCATGAATTAAATACGCTAACATTTCGCCATAAAAGTCTTACATAAAAGATATTAAGAAAAAAAGATAAATCATAATAGCGTGTAATTAGTAAACAACAAAGTCAATTTTTTATTTATTGCTCATTATTTCGAATAAGTTTCCATATAGAAAAAAAAACGAAATAAATATCAAAACTTTCTTTATAATCGATAGATTATATCGCATTCTAATTTCCAACACAAAGCTCTCACTCGTATTTATTCTCTCTAACTTGATGCTGCTTAGCAAAAACGACCCATCACGCATTGGATAGAAAGAACGGAGGCGGAGAATTTTCTCGAGATGATGATTCGACTTGAAGAGAAGCCAAATAGGAAGTGGAGTCTGGGTGGAAAAATCTCGGTCTTTCTCTCTTAGAGCGACTCCTCCCCCTCTCTCTTTCTTTCTGTGATTGCTGAATACTCGAAGCAGTCCAATGTTGAAAGAGAGAGAGAGAGAGAGAGAGAGAGAGAGAGAGTGACACAACAGTCCTGTACACGTGCGAGATCTCGTGCGAATCGTGACATATTGCGTGTCGCGGTAGCTGCTTCCGTGGAACGACGCTCGGTCGCTCGGTCGCTCGGACGCTCAATGAGGGCGATGGCGACGGCGGTAGCGGTGGTGTCCCTCGTTATCCATATGCAATATGCATGGAAGAAAATATGCACACGCCAGTCTATAATTTAGCGGCGGCGGACGGAAGGTCTGTGTGAGATTCGCGCGTGTGTGCAAGTGCGCTATGTTGACGGAGACGGAGAGCACATTGGTAGAAACCGGCGCCACCAGGTTTGTTGTGCTTGTCCTTCTCTTGATTAACATCCCATGTCGTCTATCGCGGCCACCGATATGTACCGACGTACGTAGGTGAAATAATAGGAACGATATTTTGAATAATATTAACGTCTTCATCAATTATCATTATTATTACAACTAAATCGTAATTGATGTTTGATTAGTAAAGGTTCTCGCATTAATCGTATGGAAAAAGTGGCTTCGAACAAATTGGCTGTGACATTTTGTAAATTAGGAGCTGTTGATCCAAAGTTTTTATAAGCAATCATATGAAAAATGGATAGATTTTCTTGCAACACTAGTTGCTATCTAATCGGACTAAAAAATGTTTTTTTCTATTAAATTATATTCATTTGTTGATAACGGTACCTTAAACTTGCATTTACACAGAATAATAAGATGAATCAATTGATGTCAGAAAACACAGTTACTTTTAAAAAAGATTATACAATTTACAATATGCAATTTACATATTTTTTTTTTTAAACTACCAAATGTTTTCTTTATACCAATAGATTCATATTTTATTCTGTACATTTTAAAAGTATTAAAATTCAGTTATTAAAAAATAAATTTAGTAGATCAAGATTTTTCAGTTCAATTAGACCCAAAGTAGCTTTCAAATGATGCTACAACAAAATCTGTCCATTTTTTATGAATGTGCTTACAGTGGCACAGTACTTTTGAACAGCATCTTATAATCTACAAAGTACCACAGTTTCAACCAATTTGACTGAAGCCACTCTTTTAATATAATAAGTATAAGCCCTTTTAATATAAGAATAATTTTGTCACAAAAGTTAAGAAAATACAGCGATATTGGAGATACACGAGAGCATCGCTTCTATTTTTATTTTGACGTATAAAATTATGTATGTATAAAATTTACTGGAAGAGAACGAATATTGCAAGTGAACCATGTTTCCGATAAAATCAGATTCACCGTAGACAAAGAACGAATCAATTGCGAAGTTTTACGTCCAATTTGGCCGTTGACGTCCGCAAATTGAAAACGAATTCCAGAACTGCCACTCTTTGTGTTTCGCTATGACGTTGCGGGGAAATAGAGAAAAATATCGCTTTTGTTCAAACGATATCGGAAATGGAATAAAAAAAAAAAGAGTCACAAGTCTACCCGTGCGGAAGGCATACGAAAAATGCGACAGAAAAAATCGCGGCAACGCGTACGCCTTCGTCGACTGTAAAGCTGCCGATGTAGAATTCCCGAAAAAACTATCCCGTACAAATAGTTATCGCGTGCAACTCTGGTACCATCTGTGGAAAATTTAGGATTTACTCGACAATTTTATTCGTCGCTTTAACAAGCGAAATATTTAGCGTCACGGCATTTTTCGCAACAAATTACGAGCGGCGCGGGCAGTCGAAAGCTGCCGCGTCGTGTAACAACGCAAAAGCCATTTTTTATCCAAAAATTTCGCGGACGGATCGGCGCGTATAGTGCCGTGAAAAAAGAACGTCATGCCCACAGAGGGTGGTGCGGCGATAATATTCTCGACGCGCCTTCTACATCGTCCGATTCGATTCGTTACGCTGCGGCGTAGATAAAAGTTATGCAGACCCGCGGAAATTAGAATTCAATCGATAAATCACTTTTGCCCGTCGATTTTCACGGTGGAAGCGCGCCAAGGCGAGTCCCGATTGTCCCGAATGGCCCTCCGCGAGATATATCGTAACGCGTAGCTAGCGACTGTTATTTCGGCCAATTAGTTATCCGCACAGCACCCGCAGCGAGCGGAAAATAGCGCACGAGAGCGATAAACATATATAATATCGATTCGCGCAGCATTATAAACGAGCACATTAGAGACATATCGAGCGCAAAGAATCTGAAAGAAGCAGACGATTATATTGCAATTCTGGCACACTTGTTAAAAAAGATTATTACCATATATATATCGCACGTTTCTCGTCAGACTATTATTTCCTTCTACACGTAATATCATTTATAACTCTTTTATACGCGCATTGTTTCCTTAAAATTCTTACAAGATTTCTTTGGAATTTCCGCTTGTAAGAATCTTTGGAAATTCCAAGGACGCGCGGCGTGTGCCGTCGTGATCCCTTTTTCAACAAGGGCTTTTAAATCGCCGGGAATACCGCTTAACGAGACGGTTCAACCCGTTATTCCGTTTAACGACGGTACAAAGGATCTGGGACCTTGTGACGTTTCATGAAAGAAGACAAGTTTTAATGGGGTCACTTTTCATATTTCATGCGGGGCAACGAGGACGCACGGCGATGAGCGATACAAATTGCGTATAATTATATATCGCGTGTACATTGAATAAAAGTCTGGTCAGAATAATCAAGCCTATAGATAACAGTACCGCAGCTTTGGTGAAATAATTTCAATCAAATGTTTGATTAACATATAATCAAAATTAAACTTAACTTTACTTTTGGAAATATCTTATTTTTCGAATTACCAAACGGTTAGTTATTATTATGTTTTTTACTTATTTACTACATTTAAATATTCTATCAATACGCTAAATAAAGTATATTTGATAACTAGTAAAAAAAAAACGATTTTACTAAAATATCTAAAAACTTATTAGTTAGATACATCTGGAAATAATTTTTAAAACAATTATGTAGGACACTCAAGCTGGTCACTAGAATGTCAAAACTTTTTACAGCTTTACTCATCGTGCTCGAGTTCGCTAATTATTTTCACGGTCCAACAAAATTATTTTCAGATCCAACTAAATTTTTTTAAATACTTTAGCAAAATCGTTCTTTCCGTGCATTATTAGAACTTTCTTTCAATATATCGCGTGAGTTGTCGAGAGAAGTATCGGCTTTAATAAGATCTAATGAAAAGGTAGATCGAAATTGAGATGGCAGGGTCTCTCCTAGAAGAGGACCTTTCACCTAATGGTTTGAGAAACTATTGAGAAACCATATTCGCCGGCATGCGCCAGCGTGGCCATTTATGGCCGCGCCAACAGATCGCGCGTCGTAATACATGTCGATTGTGCCACGTTGAGAATGTATTCCCTTTTACCTTTGCGTGTTGCATTTTCGTAACTATCTTTCTCTCTCGATTTTCCTCGAAAACGATCAACCGTATCGAAAAAGGCAGAAAATCGCATGGGGCTGAGAGAAATATATGTCGCACGTATTCTCCCGGAAATATATAAAATATATATACCTACACTCTCTATATACGTATTGCTGACAGTAAAATTTTAGCTATATTCTTTCACGTTTAAATCGCAAAACACTTAATAAAATACAAAAAAGAATTTTTTATTATTCATGGTCGTTATCAAAGATACAATCTTATTGTTAGTAATAAATATAAAGCACATTCAATTTATTGCTTTTTCTTATAAAAGACGATAATAAAATCAAATATGGGAAAACAAAGAAAAACTAATATTTTATATTGATTTTATTATCGCCTTTAAAATGTTATAAAACAAATATTACTTTTTAATTTAAAATTTTATTTTTCATTAAAATAAATATTACTTTTTAATAAATTTCAATAAAACTTTATAAATTTATTTTTCATTAGATATAAAACGTTTACGTCAATTTGTGGGGGTGCCTTTATACTTTTTGCCAAGGCTGTATTTGCAAATGAAGTATTGTCGAAGAGCAAGTGTATTATCGATAAGTACATCAATCGATAACTGCTCGACGTACGAAACACGATTTATTGTGTACAAAAAATCTGTACGCTAAATAGAAATTCAATGTGATATTGACTCACCCTATGTCATTGGCGAACAAGGTCCAATTGATCCTTGACGCACATGTCTATTTCAAAGTCCTCGAAACTTTCTACTCCACACGGCGGCTATTCGATCTGGAACAAAAATTTTAATTATGTTTAACCCCATCAAGCGTGCAGAATAGCGCGTAGTTTTGAGTTTATATACATTTACCAATAGCTACGCCACGTGAAATTTTATCTACAAAGTCAATAACATCAATACATGGGAGAAATCCGATATTTGATGACATTCGAACGTGCCCCTTGTATCAAATGCTTTTAAAGCCCAGCGTGTGTTGCACGAGTAAATTAATCACGTCGCGTCGCGTATTTTTATTCGTGCGCCAACGGTCAAATTTATCATGGGAAAAAGTTAAAGCGTACGAGGTGCACCTCACGATTCTGTTAACAGAATGAATATCGAAGCGCAATTAACTGCAATTAATCTTTGTACTTAAATATACAGGTTATTCAGAAACTCCAGGATGTATACGCTTAAAATTAAATGAAGAGGTGAAGGTATAATGTGCTTGCAAATAGAGTGATTTACTGCGTTTATTTATATACCGTGCTTATACAAATGCCGGGAATTAGGGAGATAACGTGAAGATTACGATGGGAAAAGTAGCTGCTTCTCTGGTGGTTAACACAGGCAGTAAACTACCCTTTACCTATATCGTCCTGCACCGCGAAAGAGAGGAGCATGCAAGTTATAAATGCCCGGAACAACGTTAACTCGTTACTGGCTGCGCTATGCAAACGCGATCAGATTTACGGGTATTTACGGTAATGAGGTACGATTTACTAATATGCGAGTTGACTGCACGGACATAATATTAAAATACGGCTTTCGAAAAGGAAGAAACGACGAATATCTGGCAGACATATTATACACGAGATGTTTCTCCACGAAAAGCCCGATCTCATCTTCGTTTGCAAATAAAAAGCGAAAATTAACAACATTTCAACTGAATTACATATATCTCGAAAGAAAAAGTAAAAACCTTATGTTAAATATATAGCACGATACATCAATGTAAAAATATATATAATATAAAATATAATATAAAAACATTTATATAATAATCCATCTTTCCTTATAGTTTTATTTATTGAAGGATCGATCGTAAAACTCTCTTCTCCCACGGAAAGTTAAGCAAATTTTACCTTCGTCTCGCGGGTGGATCTATATATCGCAGACATTTTATGAAATGGCTCTCGGGAAGTATAAGAGCTTCCCCAGCAACGGTTTAATATCTATATTTTCGCGAAAGCATGCCGCTGCATAATTTTGCATTGTAACGGATTGTTTTCTTTCGGACGGATATCGCGTCGTGTTCGGAGGACACCGCGTTGCACTTTGCATTTTTCAGCGAGTCATACGGAGTCATACGGAGTCTCATATGCTGCCGAGCGGCGCGGCAGTATCAGCTGCGACTGCAAATCCCCAGCACCGGTGCATCATCCGGGATGCAGAAGGAATAGAGGCGATGGTGCATCGGGGACAGCCCTCTTGGGCCGGTCGACTTCCGGTGCACCGTCTGCAATGCCGTTTTGTAATATTAAATTCACTCGGGGGGATGAGTATATGCTCCGCGATGCGCGCGAGGCGCACGGAAGAACGATAACGTTCGAATCTATTGGGGAGGACAAAATAGGAAAAATAGGAAAAAATAGGAAAAAATAGGAAAAAATAGGTAAAAATAGGAAAAAACAGTAAGGGAGGCAAACTATCCTGTAAACTTCATTGAAAGTGAACAACTCTACGCTCTTCAAAGATCCGTAGAAGCATCTTCACACTTTTCTTCGACAGCAGAGTATTTTTCTCGAAATATGAGTTGATAGAATATAAAAGAGATTTTCACAACAAGAAGAGATATTTTAAGAATGAAAATTGCACTATTTCTATTTGCTCAATAATATTATTTCACGATAAAGAGAATATGTAAAGTGCAGATTTTTGCAATTATCCATTTACTAAATACAGAGTGAATACTAAATATTCTAAAAGAAATTTTTGGAAAAAACCAAATTTTTCCTTCAACTTTGACACTTTGTATCTTTGAAACCGTTTCAGACATATGATTATATGAGTTTTCATCTTAAAATTGTGCGAGGTATCACCCTTTAAGATCTTTCAGAGTACTTACTCAAGTAGCACACAGCGCTCATAAAGCGTTAATAAAGTGCTAAAAAAGCGCATATAATCGCTTTTTTAGCGCTTTGCAAGCGCTGCTGTGCTACTTGGGTAGTATATGTGTAGTTTTTCGGAAAGAAAATCAGTGGAGGGAATTTGCGCAACATCTACGTGGACAGGGGTACGAAAATGTTTGCATAATTCTCGTCAGGAATTCTTAATATCCGGGTTACATACATTTATTCTCGCCTCTAGAGAGGAATATCTTCCTCTCATCTGGAGCAAATTAACGCGAGAGCACATCAGCTTCATTTCACGTGACGCAGGAGGTCGGAGTGCGTCATAGTCAGTAAAAACATACATTAGCTGGATTCATTCCCGCTTCGTGCGAAACATACTCGCAAAATGTTCTTTGTAGGATATGAAAAATCGTAACAACGAAACACGCGTCCGCCGGGAGCGGGTAACTTCCCGGTTGAAGACGACGTTTTTCTCGAAAAACTCACAAACGACATATTGTTTATACACGGTGACTATCTTTATCATCTATGAAAAGCGCGGAAGATTATTACGGGTTTTTTTTTTTTTAATATATTTCGTAAGTATTTTCTGCGGGGAGAAAAATTGCAACGTTACATATTATATGACATTGGTGTAACGCGGCACGTTTTATCTCCTTTATCAGACTTTTACGTTTTATCATTCCGTCCGCGATAGGCATTTCCCCGTGGGCTTGCCATTCCCATCTCGTCCTCTCAGCCGCAGTAATAAAACAGATCGAGAAAAAAAGTTAACGTTTTCAGATCCTTGAAAGTTCGTTGAAAGTCGATGTTCAAATTGAATGTCAAAGAATCGCAAAAGTAGGATCGATATGAGAAAGGGAAAGTCAGACAAGACATTTCGGAAGACAAAACTGATGTACCAAGACGAAGAGAGTTTCGTGAAGAAAACTGTTTCTTCTGCCAAAGACATCAAAAAGATCCCTTTGATTCGCTCTCATCGTAAATCGTCAACAATATCCGATATATCAAAAAACTTCGTATAGAAAAATAACAAGATCTCTTTAGATATTTTACACGGTCGGAAGATAAAAATAAATATATTTTAAGACATTTTTTTTCATAAAATAAATAAGCAATACAAGTAATTAAATAGCTTGTTCAATAATCCCGCATTAATTACTTATTACATCATATTTTGATAAATTTTCAACAGTCTTTAAGTGAAGATTTAAAGCGTACAAAACGTTTACTGTAATTGGCAATATTTGGGGCAATACTTCACGATCCAGTCTCACAATTTACCAATCGAAAAAATCTGGTCGATGGGAGCTCGTTCGGTTTATTGCGGGCTGAAATAGAGAATGAAAATCCCTGGCTGCCACGAATAGTAATCCACGGCCAGAACGGTTTCGCTCGGATGTCTCGATTATCCGAGCAATGTGCAAGTCATTTGTACGATATTCAAATATTATATGTCTGCCGTGACACGGTCAGTTTCATGTTTCATCGGTCCGCAATTTCGAATTGCACTCGATCTTCCATGTCGTGTCGTGTCTCATAAACGAGTTGCGCTCCCTATGGTTTACAAAATTTACATGACGCCATGTCTCTCATGAACGTTTTAGAAAATATTCCGCGAGAAAATTTCGAGTTGCTGACCACTGTAGCATCGAAGTAGACGGTGTAATAAAATTGAAAAAATAAATGAGGTCGAGAATGCTGGTAACTTTATGAACGTTTATTTTATGCATTAAAATAATGAGTAAATTTAATTAGTATAAATGTGTGTATATTTTAATTGTACATTTTGTTTATATAATATGTACTATGAATATATTTTTGTCGCTGGATATGTCATATTAAATGTACTTTTGAAAATGTGCTGCATGCAACTTGATTATTAGAAAATGTAAAAAAATTGTATAATATTACTCAACGTATACAATTATTAAATTTGTGTCACGCACATGCTGCGATCCGTACTTGGTTATTATAATAGAAAATGTAAAAAAATTGTATAATATTACTTAACATATACGATTATTATATTTGTGTCACGCATATGCTGCGATCCGTACGAATCAATCTACCGAAAAGAAAAAAAAGAATAGAATACAAACGACCGTTATATAATAAAAATAGAATTTAATTTGTATTTCGTAAAATGTAAAATGGAAAAATGGAAAAGAGGAATTGGAGAAATAGACGCACTCCGTGTTCTCTGAGCATGTATTCGCGTTTTTTATAAATATTCCGATTTGTGAGAGCAATATTGAAAATATCTCCTTTGAGGGATATTATGCAATATTTCCTCCCCGTCAACTTTTTTAAATACTTATTTCATGCTAAAATAATCCGTTATAACACATTTGATGCAGCCGAATATATTCTCATGCATACATAAATGGTATAGTTGCCGAATAAAATCCAAAAATATACGAAATATTCTAGAAATTACATCTATCTTTAATAAATTTAAAATCTATGTTTTCCCTGTAAAATCTAATTTTCAATAATTCACATTTCATAGCTATTAAGAATCTCAAATCATATTTCTTTAAAAAATTATTTCGATTTCAAACCTCAAATTGAAGTTCCTCTTAAAGATAAAAGAGTTTACAATAGGTATACGTATTTTATATTACTTATTATTTTTTAAATCTATCAAGAACGTTTAAATAACTTTATTAATCAAAACACGGCATAAGATAATTTATAATTGTTAGAACAACTTATAAGGTCTTTTGCACAAGGATAGAGAGAGGAGAATCAGGATCCATCGATAATTCACGCTTACTTTTCCAATCAGTTATCTCGACACAAGTCTATGTGATATCCAAATATTAGATATCCCACGCGCGGTGTCGGGTATTCACTTTTCATCGATTCGCCGCGATCCGGAAATTTACTGGATCTTTCGCAGAGAGAGCGGTGTGCTGCAGGCCGCAGCCAGA